CTCTTCCCTCAGTCTCTTGAGTAGCTGGGGCTACAGGCCACTATGCATGGCTAATTTTCCTATTTTTAGTAGAGACAGGGTCTCAATCTTGCTCAGGCTGGTCTCCAACACCTGAGCTCAGGTGATCCACTCTGACAGCCTCCCAGGGTGCTAGGATTAAAGGTGTGAGCCACGGTGCCCAGTGGCCCATAAACCTTTTTTTTTTCTTGCAGTTTTTATCAGGGGCTTGGGTGGGGGCTGGAGCCCTACCCCGTTGAGCCACAGGCGCCGCCTGGCTCCTAAACTTTTTTATTAATAATAATATTATTATTATTTTGTGGAGACAGAGTCTCACTTTATTGCCCTCAGTAGAGTGCTGTGGCATCACACAGCTCACAGCAACCTCCAACGCCTGGGCTTAAGCAATTCTCTTGCCTAAGCCTCCCAAGTAGCTGGGACTACAGGCGCCCACCACAACACTGTGTCACCTTTGGTAGAGTGCTGTGGTGTTACAGCTCATAGCAACCTCCATCTCCTAGGCTTAGGCGATTCTCTTGTCTTAGCTTCCCAAGTAGCTGGGACTACAGGTGCCCACCACAACCCCCGGTTATTTCTTGTCTGCTGTTTGGCTGGGGCCGGCGCCCTGCCCACTGAGCCACAGCCGCTGCCCACGCCTGGCTATATTTTTGTTGCAGTTTGGCCAGGGCTGGGTTCAAACCAGCCACCCTCGGTATGTGGGGCCAGTGCCCTATTTGTTGAGCCACAGCTGCCGCCCTGATAAGCCTTTTCAAATTCTGGAACATCTTGATAATTTTAATGTGGCCAGAGACTTCCCAATAACAATACCGTTAGAGTTTTTTCATTCTTGTTTTTGTTTTTCTGAGACAGAGTATCACTCTGTCACCATGGGTATGGGTAGAGTGCTGTGACATTATAGTTCACAGTAACCTCCAACTCATGGACTCAAGCAATCCTCCTGCCTCAGCCTCCCAGGTAGCTGGGACTATAGGCACCACGAAAATGCCTAGCTAGTTTTTCTATTCAGGAGAGACTGGGGGTCACTCTTTCTCCAGCTGTCTTGAATGCCTGAGCTCAAGCAATTCACCCACCTGACCCTTCCAGAGGGTTAAGATTACGGGAGTGAGCCACCACACCTGAAATCCATTCAGATTTTGTTTTTTGTCCCATGTTAGGAACATTAAAACCATCCCTGCCCCTGCACTGCACTCAGGACTGTGAGGGCCACATACTGTGAAACCCCATCAGTGTTTCTGTGGCTTAGGAAGGAAAGACTTCTTCACTCCATCCTTCCCTCTAACTTTTTCAGTTTCATAGTGAGATTTCTGATTCAATTTGGAGTCAGTCAAAAACTCAATGAGAATTACCTGGGTGGAGCTTTAGAAATCTAATTGGATGCCCAGCTCTGATTGAAAGCTGGTAGTTAAAAAGTGGAGGTGTGATTAGAAAGGTCTCAGTGTGAGCTCCTGGTGAGCCACGGGACGGTCCTGACGCCCTGCAGCCTGGAGTGACTGCTGGTTTCTGCCTGAGGTCCTGAGTCCACACCTGGTAAGTCACAGACTCCATAGGCACAGCCCCATCACTGTGCTTAAGATGGCACAGAGAATTACCCTGTGTGTTTTTCTTTTTTGTTGTTTTAGAGAGTCTCATTTTGTAGCCCTCAGTAGAGTATTGGGGTGTCACAGCTCACAGTCAACCTCCAGCTCCCTGGCTTAGGTGATTCTCCTGCCTCAGCCTCCCGAGTAGCTCGGACTACAGGCCCCCACCACAATGCCTGGCTATTTTTTGTTGTTGCGGTTTGGCTGGGGCCGGGTTTGAACCTGCCACCCTCAGCATATGGGGCTGGCGCCCTACTCACTGAGCCACAGGCGCTGCCCTACCTGTGTTTTTCAAATGAATCTTTGGAGTTTGGAGTTTGATTTTTCCTCTAAATGTGGTTCTGTCTGCATTCCTAAATTACCTGTTTGTGCTTTCATTGTTTTTTTTTAGACAAGAGTCTCACTTTTAGCCTTAGCCGGGTGTTGTGGCCGGTGCCTGTAGGCCTAGCTATGTGGGAGGCTGAGGCAAGAGGTTAAAAGCTTAAGGCCACAGCTTAAAACTAACTCTAAAACAAAAAAAAAGTCTCACTTTGTCACTGTTGATAGAGTGACTAGATATCATAGCTCATAGCAACATCAAAGTCTTTTTTTTTGAGACAGCCTGAAGCTGTCCCCCTGGGTAGAGTGCCATGGCATCACAGCTCACAGCAACCTCCAACTCCTGGGCTCAAGCGAGCCTCCTGCCTC